CCCTTAATCACATCCTTTCCTTTATGAGGAGAGCTGTGAATGGATCGAGTCCCGTAGTTCACAGTTGCCTTTTGTAGCTCACCCTGGCAGACGGGCTATAAATAAACCTGCAGCAGTGGAGTAGGGGCTTAGGTATTTGCATCGTGCATATTGTCTTGGATTTATTTCCTGCGTTTTAATGATGGATGACAGATGCAGTACAAATCTTTGTGGTGGCCAGAGCATGCCTATTTTGGTCTCTTTGAAGAATAAAGGGGGTGTTGGCTCCCACTGTTTGGCTGTGCAGATCGGGTTACTACTCTTAAAGTGAAGAATTGTTCTCCCTGTTTTATTTTGTATATTTGACAGCAGACTTTGGGTAGTAGGCCTCAGCGTTTCCCTTCAAACATCCCTTGCTTTTCCCTGGGGCCTGCTGGTGTGGATAAGTTACTAGCAGAGAGAAGGAAAAAAATATCTGAAAGCTTGTGGAACTACAGACCTTGGGCATACAGGGAGCAGGTGTCTTTTCCAAACCTTGTGATTAAAAAGGAAAGCAATACAGGATTGCTAGGTAACAGTGCTATTTAAAAGTATGTTTGCTCTAGGATGCAGGCAGGGTAAGAACAGCACCTTGACTGGTTTTTGAGGGTGTACACCACTGATAAAAACTTGGGTCAGGAGCACCAGCCTCTTGAGTGTTCAGCTGCAGACCTTTTAAGTGTTCCCATGGCTCCCTTAATAGTGCAGATTCATACAGACCCTTCTTGTGAAGCACATCAGTATTTTTGCTGAAATGAAAGGAATCCTTTTCTTGTGCAAATCTCCCAGTGTTCCTCTGGAGATACTGTCACGGTGCAAGTCTGGGTTGGCAGTGAAAGACGTCCCCATTTTGTGTTTTGCCACATTCCCTCGCACCCGCATTCGTGCAGCTGTGGGGTGAGTTGGCTCAAGGAACTGATCCAGCTGAAAACTGACTGATTCACATGAATGCTAGAGCCGGCATAGGGGAGGTGATGGAAATGAGTGTTAGAGGGGCACAGGGCTTCCTTTCTTGGTACTGTGTGCCCTGATGTTGGTTCAAAGTGAGCATGCAGGCCTGTCATCCTCATCTGGAAGATGTCCTTGCTGTGTATCGGCTCCCTGCGGTGGCCTACTCGTATGTTTGCATGTGTTTGACAAAAATAGGCTGTGTGGCCTGCTTCTGTTAGATGGGATGAAATTTTCCAGAATTCCTTCATTCAAAAACCACTCAAGATTGCAGTAAATATAAGCTAGTCCTTTAGTCTCAAGGAGAACCCGTGTGGGTGGTGGCTTTAGTACGACACTTGAAAATGGTGCCATGGGTAAATAACTTCCAGAGGTTTGTACCTGCTGGAGGGTTTGTGTTGTGCAGTGCTGGAATTTGATGTCGGTGTGTTGCACTGAATGGGGTAAGGCTGAAGGGCCCTCGAAAAGGGAGTGTTTGCTGCAGCAGGTTACTGTGTGCTCAGAGAAGCAGAAATTGGGTTATTTTAGTGAATATTTGATTAATAAACTCCTTCCTGCTTTCTGAATCCCACTCCATACTCTGTCAGAAGTCTGTCCTAACTTTTAACTGGTATGTGGAGTGGAGAGAAGCAGAGCGTCTCTAGGGTTCTGGTTTTAAGAAATGAGTCTCTGTAACCATGAGATAGAGCCGCTGCTGGAATTTAGGGGCAGCAGGGTAGGAACTGGGAAGATGTTTGTCTGCATGGCTCTTCATTGCTCCTTTGGTGCAGCTACGTGTGGCTGACATTATATCAGTAGTTGTCTTTCTGTTGGGCCTTTCATTTTAGGACAGCATCTGTTTAAGTACTGCTCTTGCTTAGAATGAACAACTTGGAAATGAATCCTGCTTGAGGAGGCTGGACTAGAAGACCTCCAAAAATCCTTTCCTAGGTAATTCCTTGGTCAGGAGTGTATTAGTGACTAAGTACTAAGCAGCGGTGGCATTTTGCCCTCGCGGAGTATTGTAGGGTGCACTCTGGTATCTGTTGGGCAATACCAACAGTGAACTTCTGGGAATTCCTGCAAATTTTCTTGTGCTTGAGGGTTGTGGGTGTACACCTCCAAGCACTGGAACCTGATGACCTGGGGAGAGCCACCTTCATAAGCAAACTTGGATCACGTGTGTTCCCCATGCCTGTGCTAAGTGCAGCCTCCCCTGAGCCTTTTTAAGGTTTACTGGTGTAAGGTTACATCAGTGCTGGGGAGAAGAGAGGTGCTGGGTGCCCTGGGGCTGATGGCTGTCATCATTTTATAGTGGCTCTTCAACTCTGGCACCCACTGGGAGTGTTTGTGCAGCAGCACCCATCACGACAGAGTGAGTGGTTTCCGGAGCAGAACGTTGGAGCTTAAGTAGTGAGCCACTCCACTGAGGGGAACACTGAGGGCAGAGGAGACCAAGGTCACCGCTGCAGAGGGAGCAAGTTGAGGCTGGGTCTGGCTGAGGAGCACCTGGAGACAGACCCAAACAATTGGCTGTTCATTTCTGGAAGGGAAGCTGACATGTTACAATAACTGAACATGTGATTCGCTCTTTGTGAACCCACTTGCACCCTTAATACTGTACTTCATGCCACAGCTGCATTCTTCTCTTCCCTCCACCCCGGGCCTTACTGCTCATTGGAAGCATCCCCCATGTTTACTCAGTTCCTAACAGGATGCTTCATAGCAAACAATCAATCATACAAAGTTTCTTACCTTGTGACACATCTTAATGTGCTGAGAAATAACTCCCAGCAAAGAAGGGGGTACTGACTCATCTGGAAAAATAAACAGTCCTTGGACAATTAATGCTGTTGATGCTCCTGCTGGTAGTTCTGTAACTTCAGACCTTCACTGCTGCCACAGGGTAGAAACAAAGTGTGACTCCTCCCAGGAGTGGGGAGTGAGTTCAGAGTTCAGGCAGTGCTTTAGGACTCTGACATGCGGCCTTGAGCACATCTAGCTTTGCTGGGCCTGACGTTGCTGACCTTCTGACAGCAGGCAGAGCCTGCGCTGCGCCTGCCCTGCCAGGAACCAGCAGACCTCTCCTGTCGGTCTTACGTAGTGGTGAGGATGAGCAGACCCCTTCTCTGCTGCCCCCGAGGCCACCACGCCTGCCAGGGGAGCAGAGACAGGGTTGACAGTGGCAGTTGGTCTCCCCAGGAAGCATCCATCAAAGACAGCAGAGAAGCCAACTTGCTCCTGCTGCTTGTGTGAGTTTTCTAGAGGGATCCAAAACCTCGGTGTGATTCTGGAGGAAGTAGGAGCAATAGTACCCACTGGGTTTGAGCTTCACATGGGGAAGCAGTACACCTGAGCACGGAACAGGACACGGGCTGCCCTCCCTGCCAGCAAGGCAGTGTAGTGGGACTCAGGAATTCTAGCAGCACCAGCAAGGTCCAGGTGATTGGACCTTGATTGCCAGCAGCCCTGTACATACCGCAGGGCCTTGTTTTTGTTAGGATCACACAGCTAGGTAAGGAGCTGTGGCACAACCACAGCCTTGGAGTCTCATTTCAGAGAGGGGACAGTGCAGGCAACGTTTGAAGGGAAGTTCTGAATTCATTTGGAGATCATCTATTCCACTGAAAAGTGACTTAATAAATAAATGTAAACTTTGACTGCTGCTATTCTCTCCCAGACTTGCCTGTAAGACAGGTGAGATGGTTTGTCACCTATCGTGTGCTACAAAATTGCTGGAGCAAACATCTCCAGTGCTTCTTATCTTCCTGTCAGGTATCACGTGCTCTGTAGGACAACAGAAACCTTAAAAATTACCTACAACTCCAAGTAAGCAAACATACTAGGGGAAAATAAAAACAATAGAGAGTGAGGATTTAGCCTGGGCTTTACTTGGTTGTAATAAGAACGGCTGTGGCATCATCTGCTGGAAGGCTCTGTGGGTATTTTTTTTGTCGCTAGAGTTATATTTGTTTTTAAAATAAAAGTTAAGAAAATGGCTTTAAAGTGTGTGGTTACAGTTTGGCCCTAAGCTCAACAGAACTGACAAAGGGACTTAAGAGGTCAATGTATTTTTAATGTTTACTGCAGAAAGGAGAGGAGGAGAGTAAGTGGTGGTTACACTGCCAAGGTCTAAGCAAACAGTGTCACACAGTGGTAGTTGCAGTCAGATGGGAAGTCTTAGCTCTACCTGAGCTGGCCTAAAAGAGGACAGGCTCTAGGTCCATGTTGTTTCCTCCCTTGACTTGGATCTGCTGGCATAGCTCACTGGGTCATCGCTTCCTAACCCATGTCTAGCAAGGGGATCCTGCTTCAGATAAGCCACGTGCAAGCTGGTCCCCACCAGTCTGACAGAACGGATGTAGTCAGGGAAGAGGCTGTGGTAAACTCAGGTAGAGGTTACCCTTGTAAGCTATCTCTGCTGCAGCTGGGGTAATATCTTGGTTTGGATTGAGTGAGCACTGTCAATTTACAGGGAACTGCTTCATCTGGGCAGCCTTCACAGGGCGAATAGGCAGCGGTGTGATTCCGGTCTCGAAATACAGGCTGCTGAACACCTTGTGTGTGCCAAGAAGGAGCATGCCCTAAGTGCTGGGTCTAGCAAGCTGGTTCTTGACACTGATGCCAGTCTGTGGAGTATCTCTGTTTTTTGCTTGTCTTCACAGGTAACACTGGTGGCTTTTACAAGTAGCGGCAGTCGTTTTACTGGTCACCGCAGCCTCTAAACTAGTTCACATCTGAAATTCTCTAACCTGCTTGTTGTTACATGGTTCACAGAGCAGGCAGAAGGGCTCCTACCTCTGTGTGCAGGAACCCACAATGCAGTGATGCTAAGTCCAACTTTGGGGGATATGCATCTGAATTATATCATCTCCTGAATTCAGGCAGGCATTGCTGAGCTGCTTTGCAGCCTGCTGTGGATCGCAGCATCTAAAGAGGTCCTGAGGCACTAGTGTCTGATTCACTTAAGGGAAAGGAAGCAAAACAAATTCTGTCCGTTTTCCAGAGTTCATTATTGTCTTGTTTCCTTCACAGGGTGGGTGACTGGAAGCCAAATGGCTCTCTTGAGCAGGCGACTGGGTTTCTCCTTCACCCATCTAAGCAGTACAGTGATCCAGCGACAATTCAGGTAATTTTCAAATCTTACTTTTGCTCCTGTTTTCTTGGGACAATTTCCTGTTGGAAAGAGATACAGTTAAGTAGGTCAAGCATAAGAGATAGTATTTCTAATTCAAAAAGTGTAGTATAATAAAATTTTAAAAGTCTCACAGTTGTCTCTTCACAGGTTGTAAAGTGAGTCTGTACACAACAACATATGCAGGTTCCTGGCAGTCTGAACATGGTCTGAACTCTGCATTTTCATTTGCATATAAGAAGGCTTTTAGGGCTTTGAGGGTTATGCAGGGGCCTGCAAGCAGAAGCTGAAAGTGCCTGTGTTTCTCAGCCAAATGCAAAACAACAGCCAGCCCTTGCTGATACAGAGCTGTTTACATGTTTAAAATTATTCCAGAGTTTATAATTTCAGTTATTTCAATCAAAAGTAGCCTGAAAAATTATTTCTTTGTACCTTAATAGTGTCTGTTTTGGTTTGGGTTCTTTTTTTTTCTGGTCCTTTTTCCAGGCTCAAGGCATTTAAAGCTTCTTATATTTGTGGACCTCAAATTTTATAATGCCTTGCACAAAGCTTAGTGCCTAATCCCGCAGTACACTCGGTGTAGGTATGGGGAATATCTAGCACATAACTCTTTGAAGTGTCAGGGTTTCACTTTAAAGAGTGAGAATAGTCATTCCCATGACTGGTCTAGAGAGGGGATTAAGACAGTGCTGATGGCTGTGTGATAGTCCCAGGATCTATCGAGGACAGGCTGCATCTGAGCATTGGCCAAGAGACACTTAAAGGACACACACACACATGCCAACAGCAAGAGGAAGGTGAAATCCACAGAGGTGAGCAGTGCTACTGCAGGATGTCAGCAGTCTTAATGGAGAAGCCTTTCCTTCGTGGTGAGCGTGCTTTGGATCTGGTGGGGTTTTGCTCCAAGACTGGCAGAAATGAAGAAAGGAGGGGAAAAAGTCCTCCTTGTGCAGTTATTCTTGTCTAGTCATACCTGGGCAATCACACTTGCAGCTGTTTGCTGTTGGTGCCTTGTGGACTTGGTCCCACCTAGGTCTTCTCCTTCCTGTGAGAACAGTCTCGTCCCTTTCCAGCCTCCTTCTGCTTTCCCTGCTGTGCAGCCACAGGCAAGCAGAGGGTAGAGAGTGTGGTATGTGACTGTCCCTGCCAGGGGATAGGATGGGAGAGGGTGGCTGCTTGCAGAGGTGAGTGACTTCTGAGAGAGAAGAGAGGTGTCCTTTTGTAGAGGAAAGCTGGAGTAGGCCTCTGCTGCAGGAAACAAATCTTGGAAAGCAGCACTAGACCTCTGGCACAGTTAGACTCATGCAGACTGACCCAGCCAGCCTTGTCTTACTTACTGCATGTAAGCATGTCTGCTTCAACTGATGCCCATCTGCACCATCTTTGATACTCAGGGCATGGCCTGCTCTTTTTTAGACAGCATTGCAAATACAGGTCCTCTGTCTTCAAGTAGGACTGATGGTCCCCGTTGGTCTTCATTTACTGTAGACGTTTTTGCTCAGCAAAACAAGGTGAATGGCTGGGTTGATTTCACATGCTGAGTAGTTCAGCTGACAGCAGCTTGGCATTCCTGCAGCTATCTGGCCAGCACATTTCTAGTACCCTTCTGCAAAGCAGATGTAGCAGTAGAAGGGATTTTCCTGCTTTTGTGATGCGTTTGGGTGTCCTTTGAAGAGAAGCAACAAATCATTTGAATTTAAGCTTACTGGATAAAAGAATAGCTGTTCCTGTAAGGGAGGCTGAATTACTTCTCGCTGCATTCCTTCTGTTCCCAAATGTTCTCAGAGTCAGATCTAACAACTTAGTATCATGCAGTTAATTTCTGTTGTTTCTCACTCCTGATAATCCCACAGAGCACAAAGATACAGAAGAGACTACATCTCTCTGGGTTCCTCCCATGTGGGGAAGGTGATGATCTGTTAGATTGTAGTTGCTGGCAGCTTAGCACAGACACAGTAGGACCTTAGAGGGCTCACTGAGAGCAGAATAAGATGCAAGACCCTCATAGAGTTCACTGAAAAGAAGATTGGCCAGAAAAGTCCTTATTGCTGAGGTCTTTGTACAAGACTGAAACACCCTGACTTGACTCTTAGCTTCCTGTAGGATGTTTGCAGCAGAAGCAAGCATGCATTTTGCTTGTCAGTTGAAGCTGAATGGAATCATCTGTGGTGGCTCCAAAGCCCAGTAAACGCAAGCCACTCTCACGCCACCATTCAGTCCCTAGATGGTCGGTTTATGTTTGACATTGAGCAAAGTGTGCAAAGCCCCAGGTAGCATCTGGCTTTCAGTGAGCACGTTGAATGCAGTCAACGTGTCACCCATCTGGTATGTGTGTGTTGCTGGCGCCTTCCGAGTGCTTTGTGTAACGACAGGATCCTGGGCTGGGTCTGCCCTTGCTCCCCGAGGGTCACTGAGCAGATCTCCCTTCTGTTCCTCCCTGTCTGTTGCTAGTGTCACGGGGGCGTGCCAGGCGATACAGAAGCTCACCCGCGTGCGAGTGGTGGACAACAGCTCCTTGGGGAACACGCCGTACCACCGGCCGCCCAAGTGCATCCACGTGTATAACAAGACTGGAGTCGGCAAAGTCGGAGATACCATCCTGCTGGCTATCAAAGGAGAAAAGAAGAAGGCTTTAATTGTAGGGCACAAGATGCCTGGCCCAACAATGACGCCTAGATTTGATTCCAACAATGTGGTCCTCATAGAAGACAATGGAAATCCAATAGGGACTAGAATAAAAGTACCGATACCCTACATTCTGCGACAGAGAGAAGGAGAGTTCTCCAAAGTGTTGGCCATTGCCCGTAACTTTGTATGAAAGCTAAGAAAGGTCTCTGGCAATCCTGCTTATATCCCTTCATACTGTAGCTGTTCCTTGGTCCTTTACTAGAAAATAGAGAAATGTGGAAAAGCTGACTCTCTCTTCGTGTTTAAGAAATTACAAGCAACTAGGTTAAATGTTGGAATACCTTGTTTTTCTCCAAAAGAAGGTGGATGTATTTCACAGAACATCTGCAGTGTGTTTGGGAAATGTCCTTCACGCTTACTGCTCTGGTGGTATTAATTTGGTCTGTAATCATTAAAAGGAGAAAATGAAAATTCTTCCTGTTTTGTCCTCTCTTTTCCCTATTTCTGCCCTTCTCAGTTTCCCAGGAGCGACACAAAGTGCAGTGGCCCAGTGACATTGGGGTCTACAAAATGGATTCGTATGTAATAGAGTAGGAGAGACACACAATGAACTATTGGTGCCTTGAGCACATTCAATACAAGGATTATTTTCTACATCTTTGTGTAAGAAAAATCTATAGGAGGAATCCAAATTGGGAGAGTATGACTGCCTGCAGCTTCATCAGTGTGTGGCTGAATGGGGTATGCCAGAGATGGCAATGTGGAAGTAGGAAGGGCAGGTGAAGGGGGAAGGTTTGAGATGCAGGCTATGTTCTCCACCTGACCAACCTCAGGAAGTGGTGTTCTGCAGGTAATGTAAGAGCTGGGTTCAAATTGAAAGATCCACAGAAAGAAGCTTCCTTTTGGACTGCTTTTTGGAACTCTGTCAGACATTGTCTGTGATGTCAGTTGGTGAGACTGGCTGTTGCCCAGCTTCCTAAGCTTGGGCACAATAGTGGGCAAATGCAACTGTGTTGCTTTCAGGGGCAGCTGTGATCCAGAAGCCAAACAGCTGCCTTTATTTGGAGCTGAGCAGAGAAACCTGGTACTTGTGGCAAATAAAGGGACATTGGGGCTGAGCACTCCTGGAAAAAGCAGTGCTGAGGAAGAGGGTGTGAAGGAGGCAGCCAGTGGGAGTCTGGCCAGCTTCAGGCCCCTGAACTAACTTGTCATGGATCTGGTGGGATCGGTGGCTGGCTGTGTTTTCCTTCCCCTCCTCTCCCTGCTGTGCTGGGAAAGGCCCCTACTGTGCCCCTGTGTGAGGACCTGAAGACTGCAGTGCTGAGCTGTTCCACACTTCAGCTGGTTACTCCTGGCAGATGTATCTGCCCTGTGCTCCCCACTGCAGAATCCACGCTGTCCATGGAAAAGATGAGCCCTGGCTCCCCTTGTACTCCATTCCTCCAGGTAATGCAGATGATACTTCAAAATTAAATTCACTTAAGCCCTCAGCCTGCTTGCTTCATAGGTGTCTGAAACGTTCCATGCTCAGAGGTGATGTTTATGCCATTTTGCTGAGCAGGACAGTGGACAAACGGTGTGCCAGTCACAGTGGTGAGCCTCCCTCCCTCCCTTAGGTGGGATTTGCCTCATGTCACAGGGGCATGGCACAGCCTGACTGCTTGGGCATTGCTCACAGCCTTTTTTCCCCTGGTTGAATTTTTTTCTCAGATCAGCATGGGATGATCCCAGGCTTCTTTTTTTTTTTTTTTTTTGGAATGAGTGCTGTTCTACAAGTAGCTTCCCAGCCCTTTGATGATGCTTGGTGCCTGCCCTGCAGGCATAAAGAGCCTGGCAGGCAGGAGCACTGATGCTCAGCCAGCCCACATCCCACCCTGGCTTCAGGAGCAGAGTGGGACTAGCTAGGCTCTGTTCAGGATCAAGGAGCTTTAGCAAGTGCTGGGTGCATGGGTCTGATACTGGCACCGGGGAAGCTTTGTGCAGGGCTGCAGGATGCTGATCTGCTCAAGTTTGGCTAAGGGATGGGAATCAGCATTGTGCCCTGCCATCAGCAGATAAATCTTCACAGCCCACTTTAGGTGTGGATGTTTTTTTTTTAATTATTTTTCAAAGCCCATCCCGATATCAGGATGGAAGTATTTTGAATAGAAAAGGTTTTATGCTTTTATGCATTTTTAGGGAAAGTGTTTATTACACCTAACAGCTCTGTGGTCTAGCTTTAGAAAACCTTCTGCAGCCTCTGAAAGTTCCCCAGCCATGATAAATACGAACAAATACCTGTATAGGTTTTTATATATACAAATCATAAACCAATTGACATGTCTGTCACGCCCTTCCTGCAGACAGGAGGAGCTCAGACTTCTTTAGTGTAAACCCATTTGAGAACAGAAGAGGAAGATGGCTTCCACTAACACAGAGCCAGAAAATACACTTTCAAATGGTGCTTGTATGAGGTATTTAATTTCTGTGTGCAGGCTGTGGGCACAGTGGAAGTGGAGTCCATCCCAAGCTGGAATAAGTCAGTCCCAGCCATTCAAAGGGCTGCTTTACTGTGAGATTTTTGCTTGGCAACAGCTCCAGCTTTAAAGCATCTCCCAGTAGGACCTGGGGGCCTGCAAACAATCCTTGTTTTTCTTGTCCTGACCATAAGGGCTACGACTCTCTCATGAGATGCACAGACCCTGCTGTTTGGATATTAAATATTTCACAGAATATTTGCTAATAACTTTCCAGCATTTCACTGGGGAAGAGGTCGTGGGGAGAGGGCATGAGAGGAAGCGGGCAAGACAATGCAGCATACTTGAGATTAAAATGTGGAGCAATGCTTTATTTCTAAGTAAACTGTTATGTGGAACTAAATCCTTATCCTCAGAGCTTAATAAGCAGACATGCAGACAGCTAAGCTAAGCATATCCCGTGGAGCATCTCCTGCAGTTTTTACCCCTCTCTCCTGAAGGAGGAACGTGGCCTCCTCAGAAGTTCCCTGTGCGTGGTGACAGCTCTGTGCTCGGCAGATTCCAGGCGCTGGGGTAGCAGCATCCCCGGAGGGGAAAGGGCCTGGCTCAGGGATGAGCCCTCGGCCTGCTCCCACCCATCCT